CCGCATCGTGGGTAATCTCGATGGTCGGATGAGTGGGCAAACAAACACGTGATCGTGGGGAATCAGATTTCCGGTCTCACGATGAAATCGGTTTTAGTAATCTATTTTTTATTTTATTTTATTTTCCCATGACAATTTTATTCCCAAGTAGTGATATATTGAGATGTATTGGCATGAATACGAATCTCCGAAAACGAGCTTGTCCGCCACTCTGTTGTTTTGTTTGAAGTGTGCTCTGTGGGATTATACCAACAAAATAGTTACCTCAATTCAATGTATTTATGTGCAAACCCGAAACCCCTAAGATGTTCACCGGCTTCATCTCAGAAAGTTAAAAATACCCGAACGTAGAAACTTATTGTGATCCATATGATTATGCCTTCGCGGCCTGCTCAAAAGCACACAATTGGGGTTTTCTTCAAGGAAATAGAAGAAGCATCGGTATTTAATTAAGAAAAACCCTTGATTTGCTACAAACAAAGTCATCCTTGTACCCCTTGAGATGCAATCTTAAGGGGGTGGCTTTTATTTACAAACACACGTGTCACACAACACGTACAGGATGGAGTCGAATGCAAATAGATAACCCGATTGTCCCCTGTGTGGTTCTGTAGTACTTCTTGCGACCTCTTATGAGTCGAGCTCACCAAATTTGAGGTGTAAAAAGTGGCCGTGCCGTTTTCCCCCAATCTTCTGATTTGAACATCCAAAGTAAGACATGATGTCAGTACGTGAACCTCAATTTAAAGTATATAAAATACAGTTAAAATCATGTTGCCGTCAAGGCTGTTACAAAGCAGTTGAGTTATTTTGGCTCTCAAAGGTCTAGCAGTTGATACACAATAAGGAATCTCCTTGGATAAAAGTCGATTTAGTTATTCAAGTGTAATAACCTCAAAAACTGGTTTGATGTTATCAGAATGTTTTTCTGGTCATTTGGATGCTAGTTATGGTTTATATATGCATCACATTATTCATATAAGTCTATTACTTTGATCGTTTTAGATTTCTAGTTCAAACATGCTGGCTTTCAGTGAGGCACTTTTTCCATCTATGCGGAACGAACCAGACCCTTCTGTGATGACTGAAAATACAGTTGAAGGTTGGACACGTTATGTCATTTGGTTACCTGTGCACTACTTGGCGTATGACAACTTTGTGGTGAGCAAAGCCCGCCATTACACTCGATGTGCTCTGCAGCGACCACCGCCAACCAGTCTAGTCGGCATGGATCACATAAACTCGATTAGTAATTGTGGGGTTATTTTGGACATGGACGGAGTAGCTTCCTCAAACGGGGATGAACTTCAAATGTTACGAACGGCTCGAAGTGTCCGTCCAGACCCTTTTACTGTAGCCATTGGCCGAGTATCACCCAAAGAGATTTTGGTTTCCGAGAAGGGTGAACGTCGAGCTCTTTGTCATGTGACGTCAAGCACCGACTTTTCCAGTAAACGGTCGTCGACGGAAGCGGCGGATCAAATGTATGTCACTCTTAGAATTTGGGTTTCTAATGTGTTGATTTTACAATCTAGCCTAGCAGGCAGTTTTTACCTCATGAGAGTACAATTGATTAATCATTAATACGAGATACGCCTCTCTGTTAGAAGGAGACAATTTGTTTGTTAGGTAAAATATACGGCCTAAAACTAGATCAGTGTGATATGTATATGTATTTATGTATTAAAAAACAACTGATTTGGAGACCGGGAAAGAGCAATCAACAGCTGTCTCGTCCTCGCTGAAAATCATCATATGTGCTTATTATTGATGTGTCCCTGCGTGGGCCTCAGCTGGCG